TTATAGAATGCCGTATTGTGATGATTTGAAAATTAAGAGGCCAGCATCCACCAGCAAGATTATGTCATATTTCCGGGCGAAAAAGACATATAGCTAAGAGTGCAACTCTCCATATTGTCATAATCATGATAATAGTATTGTATTCTCTATGTTACGGACAATCTCTTCCACCGTACAAACGGCGATCCGAAAAGCTTTTGCTCTATTACAGGCGTCCATTTCATCGCACTCCTAGCAAATATGACGTCATATCAATACTGCTGTCTGATTGGCTGGAAGTTAGATTGAGTCTGGGATCCAATTCTCACGACTGATCCTAATCCCACCGCACACTATATGATCCGACTACGATTCGATTTCGAGAGAATTTGAAATAAAATTTGATATGAACATCTTAAAGACCGTCAATACTACTGGGCCAGAAGGGATTAGACCACACAGCGAGGTCACTGACAGGTGGCTATCTCATTAACTGAGCTTTCAACTAACATAATAAAAAGAGGATCATGGGGGACCAACAGGCACCGATTGGGGGAAGTTTTCTATATAGAGGGAGCAAGTAGCTACAAGTAGGACAGTGGGGCTTTAAGATCTTATGAGTATTCATAGGATTAATCACATAAAAAATGTCAGGAGTTTCATGCTTCCATGGAGGAGGAAAAGCTAAATCGGCTCAGAATCGTAGTGATGCCAGACCAGTATTGCGATTGTCTACGATTTAAAGCCGATTAATCTTATTAGAATAATTAAATGCACTAACATTTCTGTTGTTTGTATTCGTATCATTATTTAGCACTTAAATCGGGACAATGATGTTGGTTGCTATTTCTATTATTGTCTTCGACTGGTCTGCGATTGGTCTGCGACTCACAGACTGACAAGACTTGTGACGTCACATACCCTTTCACGCAGTTCGCAGGGGACATGAATAGATATATAAATGTGTTTGGTATAATTATATCAGGTACTGAGACTGAGAGTGACAGATGCCAAAAAGGTTTTCATCCCGTCCACTTTCCAATTTATAAAAGAGAGCGGTTTGATCGTGCTTTTCCAAACTTTAATAGCAAACTACCTACATAGAGGAAAGCAGAAAATCTGAGAAATAGACTTGTGAAAATTTGAATGAAATCGGCCCCCAACTGGAAAGTTAACAATTGTGTAAAATGTGTTAGCACTATAGCCATGAACTGAATCGGTAATGCCTCTGTGATGTGGAGGCGGACAACTTTCCCATTTGTTCCAAAACAAAACGACTAAAATTTGAATTTTTCAAAAATGTAGGACCCAGAAGGATCTAATCTCTTTAGAGGACCTATAATAATCTGATATCCATAATATTTTTTGAGTAGTGTCCCAAGAAAGGAGGCATTTAGGAGAAAAAACAGAAATAAATGATATTTTTGTCCCCGACAAACGGGAGACTTATCCGCGACTACGTCACAATCCACTGACCAAACTGTCAATATGAGATTTGCATAGACATAGTGATCAAATATTCAAAACATTCATAACTTTCTAATTATTGGTTCGATTTATTATCAAACTTCCGCCATTCTGTGTTTCTTATTTGTCTACCTTTATACAAAGTTAGATTGCACTTTAGAATTAAGACAGGAGAGGTAGTTTAGAGATCAACGAATTAATTGAAAATACTAGTGAAAAAAAGAGTATCACAGTCATAATTATAAACAAAATCGTGGATGATGGATGCAGATACTTCATTGTGTTGTGGTCGGGGGGGGGGGGGGGGGGGGACTCTTCCGTTTCCCACTGTACCCTTGATAAGAAATTACGTTACGTGAGATCAATCATTCAGTCTCAGAGAAAGTTTTTCAAACATGAGCTGACGAGGAAGGACCGTATGGCTGAGGTGGGTATTTATTTGTAAAATGAGACAGTAGACGAACCGTAAGGGCACAAGGTTGTATGGATTTCCTGTCAATGAACTCACATTTACGCCAAAAAACATTACACAATACATGAAACTGGACCTAGAGTACCAACTTTCTATTTGTTGGGTTAAATTATAAGTTAGGACGAACTGTCTGGAAAAAATCATTTAAAGATTATTATAACATTCTTTCAACATAAATATAAAAATAAATGAAAAGCTTTTTAAAAGTGACAGGCTTTTAAATTGAATAATTTAGTTACTGAATATCAAGTAATAGATGATTATGACTTATTCCATTTTTTCTATGTGTAGAATCCTACACAGCCAGAGCCATATATACACATAATTTTGCCAACGTGGGTTCACTGGGTCACAACATGGCGCATATTCGTTTGTTTTGTGCTTGCCCAACAAAGCAGTAGTCGCCATATTGTGTCCAACTCGAACCGGGTTGGCCAAACTCTGTTACAACACGACGGAGTTGTGCCCTCTATCTATGACGTGTATACATTATCCCACGTCAATGTAGCACTGTATAAAGGGCTTGGCGTCTTTCCGGCGGTCTACTGTCATGTAAGTGTACGGGTACCCGCTTGTTATGCTTAAAGCAAAATAGTCAAGCTATCCATCTATCCATTCATTCATTCGTTCAGCAGTTACTTCATTCCTTCCTTCCTTTCTTTCCTCACTCCTTCCTTCCTCCCTTTATTAATTAAAATGTTTAATTTATTTATTCATTGATTCAGATCTGTATTACCAACATTTCCAATTTCTTTCTGATTTACTCTGATATAGTGCAAGATGAAAATCCTTAATATATCTGTATTCGTTGCTATTATTCCATATAAAAATGTTAAATATATTAATTGAATTTCGGAATGACAATAACTATTCATTCAGTATCAAATAATGGAGTCAACAAATAGCAAAGTTAGTCAAGGTTAGCCCGTTCATTCCATCATAATTCATGATTTAAATGCAAAGGACCAGTGGCGAAATGAGCATCCAGGGGCCGCCTTATGGCCCCTTGTGGGGTCCAGGGGCAGAACCCCCGCAAGCTCAGGGGTTTTAGGTATTTAATTACGGTCAGATGGGCATATTTTGATCCCTCATTTCTGACACTGGCAGGTCATTATTCTTGTTCTTTCTTTCTTTCTTTCTATTTCTCTTCAACATACTTTTTCAAAAAAGTGAGAAATTTGTTTGATTTTTTTTTTTTGGGGGGGGGGGGGGAGGGGGCGGGCAACTGCCCCCAAGCCCCCCCCCCCCCATCAGTACGCCAGTGCGAGGGACGAGGCATAGTGAACGAGAGGGGCGAAAGTGACGGCAGTGACTACCCCCTTACACGTTTTTGAAGTTTTGTTGTATTAAAAAATTACATTCCTTAGCAAAACTATGTGATATAGCCAAGCAATACACCTTTTTTCACACTTCACTTTTAGTTTGCCAGTAATAAGTGTGCAGTCCAAAGGGTTGTAAATATCAGTTTCTATTTCCCACTCTATAGGCATCTGTCTTTACGTGTATATTGATATCGCTATGGGAGTTGAAATGGCAAATATCAGCCTGGCAAATATATAGACTATGTTGTAGTGACTCCTTACTGAAAAGAGCAAGCGGAATATTCATTTTAGTAGCACTGATCTATCTCTATAACTCTTAATTTTGTAAACATACAGTGTAAACTATGCTTACGTGATACCAACGGAATACAGATTTTCTACAATATTTACTTGTACATTTTGAACGATATTATGCGAGGGAGGTGAGCGACCGAGCGAGAAGATTTTTGCATTTTTATTAGTCTAAACGCTGCACTCTTGGCCCTTTTTCCCCGACGGGGAAAATTGTGAGCAGGCTCAACTTCGAGGGCACCCTCCCGTCCTAGCCAGTCCGAGCCCGTTCATGAAGTTCTTCAACAGATTGTAAACAGTTCCCACTACGTTCAACTCTGTTTGCACACGGTGTGAGCACGTTTGGCAACATTTTCCAAAACGTAGTGAGAACTAATTTAGTGTGATGGGGGCTTTACCATAATATTCAAATTATATTTCAAACACTATCTCTAAGACTTTCAAGAAATCTACTTCAAGGACAATTTGAATACTCTATTGTATTGCATGTTAATATCATGTTCGGATTACATAATATCTAATTGTAAACAAGGTCGTACATTTAAAAAAGGAATGGACGAGGTTGAAATTACCAAGGTTTATTTCTAGAAAGTCTTTTGTGATCATGTTTACAATTGAAAAGGAATACATCACCATAACCTATCCTCATTATATTGGTCTAACTTGAACCTTGTACCAAGAGTTAAACGTAATACAACGTTTTGGGAAATTTTGAAAAATTGGGTGGATAGTGATTCTTTACAATTTTGATATATTTGGATGCCCCTGTGGATGTATTATAAGTACTAGAAAGTTTAGCCCAGAAAACGATTCTGCTTTTGAGAAAAGTTTAATCTAAACAATTCAAATAGCACCTACGACCGAATAATGGTAGCTGCGACCATGAAAATCTCAGAATATGTAGTTGTGATTTATAGTTTCCAAACGGGAATAGCTAATCGGTCGATTTTAGTCAAGAAACATTGTTTTATAGCTTAATTAATATCTTGACCATGAGAGGGAGCTACACAACATAAAGAGTAACTTAAGACTCGATTTCAACCGCGACAACGATCATTGAATATTATAGGATCGCATATTCTTCAAATATGTTCATTTGAACCTAATTCATGAACACACACCGACACTTTGTATTACCTTTAAGTATAATAGTAGAAATACTAAAACAACAAATCCACACCACCCCACCATCACCAACAACAACATCAACAATAATAACATCTTAAGCAATGTTATATCCCCATTTCAGAAAGTGGGAATTAGATATTCAGTCACAAGTTGCAAGTTGACGATGAGAATGATGAGATGGCGCTGTGTAATAAACATATTCTTTTAAATAGAATCGCCATATACAGCAGCCGCATCTGCACACTTTAGATGTATGTATTTATGTATTTACACTAAAAAATGCGCATCCTGTAAAAAGTTATCAGTCGGTTGTCATTAATATCAAAACTGTTTTACGGTTC